GACGACAAATACAGCCATCGTGGGGGTGAAGGATGAGGGGAATGACAGGTGGGTGTGGAAGAGAGAATGAATACTGAAGAACGAGGAGAAAGAGAAGGTTGGAGGACGAGCGCTGGGAGGAAGAATGGAGGAAGAAGGACGAGAACAGCGGGAATGAGGGGGAGGAGGACAAGTATGAGGAGGAAAAGGAACAGCAGGAAGAGAAAGGGAGGAGAAAGTCGAAAAGGAGGGAGGGTTGGGAGCGAGAAAGAGATGGAGCTGAAGGAGGAGGGGGAGGAGGAGGAAAGGGGAAGGACGAAAAGAGGAGGGGAAAATATAGATGACGGAAAGGAGGGAGAAGAGGAAAAGTGAAGGGGAAAGTCGGGGGGAGCAAGGGGGATGCTAAAGGTGCGAAATGGCACCACATGACTGCGCCACGTGGGGGGAATTTTTTCAGTTTCTCTCTTTTCCGTTATTTGTGTTTGTGTATGTGTGTGTGTGTGTGTGTGAGAGAGAGAGGGGGGGAAGGGGGCCCGGGGAAGCGGGGAAAGCTAGGGGGAAGCTAGAGGGAAGTGGCCAGAAGGAGGTTGGGGGTTGAAAGCATGAAATCGCGCCACGTGGTTAGGATACGTGGTGTGAAATCACGCTTTCTTTTGTCTTTTTGTTTTATTTTGTGTGTGTGTGTGTGTGTGTGTGTGTGTGTGTGTGTGTGTGTGTGTGTGTGTGTGTGTGTGNCATTTCTCGATTTATGCGTGTCATCCTTGCGCAGGGGCCATGCTAATCTTCTCTCTCTGTATCGTTCCAATTTTAACGGATGTCCCGAAGGACAATCTAATCCCAGTTCTGCTCCCCTTAGTTTTGAAACTGTCGGATAGGTGTGTTTTACCAGAGTGTTCTGGGATGCGTATGATTCCCTTGAAAGGTTTTGAAATCTAACCCCTATTTGTATTATAAGTCCTAAACCGTGGACCCTCGGTTATAATGATGCCTTGATTTACCAGTTCCTAGTCCAAGAGATAAGACCTGTGCTATTCCTCCGCTCGGAACCGCGAAACTTTCTTCCTCTCTGTCCGCTCTTCTAAAACCCTAAACCCTGCTGTCCCCCCTGACGTGGAGACCAAGTCCTTTTTTACGTGAAACCATAGTCCTGTAAGACCACTAAGCTGAATATATGTATGCTGAACTGTTTTGTGATTGTGCCATTTCCAACGAGGCAAGAACTAGCCTTAGTAAAAAAATACATCTGAATTTACCTGGGGCTGGTCGGTTTGAACTTTGAAGATGATACCTCTGGCCGTTGCCCTTTTAAACCACCAGTACTTGGCCAAGCTATTGGACGTGGAAAAAAAAATAGAGTAGAAACATTTCTAGTCAGATGAACTTGGGCGCTCCTGTAGTGGCCCGTACGTTTCCTAAAATTGTGGCTTGTTAACGGGCACCACTTTCGGAAGTTCTGGTGGTTTAAAAAAAACAAACAGAAAGACATCATAAATCTGATTCTCAATACATGGATTTCTGAACTGTAATGTGGGCTGCAGACTTTCTACTACAGTGGAATCGAGGATTTCCGGCTGCTCCGTGACCGTGCTGCACTGAGGCCCATGGGTCACACTCTTTCTTTCTGTGCTCACAACCTCAGCGGAATGGAGAGTAGTGACAAGCAGTGGCGGTTCAATGTGCAGTTTGCTGATCCACATTCACTGCCGCAACGACTGAATCTGTCGGCCATTCTTCAGATCCCGGTCCAAAGCGCATGCATTGTGATGGTCCGGCATTCCTTGAGGTTGCCGAGCATGATCAAGAAGAGGTGGGTGCGACCGAAAAAGAGGAAAGATAAAGATAAAGATAGTGGAACAGCTGGTAGCATATCGCCAGAGGAGGCTTCAGATCTGAGATGGACGGACCATGACGTGGTAGATCAGGAGGACTTTGTCATGGATCGATATGGCATGCCGATTGTCGTCACTGTCAAGGATGCATTTGTGACTTCACATGGTCATGTGTATAGCAAGGAGGTGGGAACAATCGGGATCTATGGTTGCGGAGGTAATCCGCTCCCAAAGCAACCTGCAGCGCAGTCAGCAGATGACGCACCTCGGCTTGAAAAGAAAGTGTTTGTGATCTCTCACGGTGCTTTTGCATCGGGCGTTTACCATTCGCTGATCGATTGTCTCTCGAGGTTGTCGGCATATTATGGAGACGTTCTGTCCGATCCGTCCATCAAACTCCATGTGGTGCCGTCGCGTTTTGAGATGCTTTATAAGGTCCTCGCTATTCTAGGATTCACAAGAGACAGGATAGTTACCGGCAACGTCTTTGGCAAGATTGTGTTTGTTCCTGAACCTTCTATCTTCACTTGTGGGGGTGGAGAGAGGTGGCACATGCGACAAACGAGGGCCCTACTGAGAACACGACTACGCAGCGTATGTCCTCACTTGTTCCCACCACCTCTCCTATCATTGTCAGCACCAAATCAGGTCACACCTACCACTCATGCTACCCCAATCCAGACATCATCACCATCTTCTTCTTCTTCTTCTTCTTCTTCTTCTTCTTCTTCTTCTTCTTCTAGCAGTATGGCTATGGCTGAAACATTGTCTACTGTAGAGCACGGAATTGGGAAGGGTGATCATCATGCGAGTGGCTTTGGAAATGGTGCACCAAGGAATTTGGTGAAATCTTTTGCAAGCAGCTCTCGAGACTATTCCGAGGGTGGGGCTGACAACAATATTGATGGGGTCAATTTCACTTCCCGTGCAGGGACAACAGTAGCCAAGGTTTGTTTGCCCTTAGCGTCGGAGCCGGCATTCAAATCAGCAAGTCGGTGGGGGGTCAGCACAGAAGGAGAGGGGTCGGCAGCTGGCACCAATGAGTCGCTTTTGAGTGTTCCGGGACGGAAGCGCAAATACCATGGCCTAATTGTTCAGCGGACTTCCACTCGTGTTCTGATCAACCAAGCAGAGATGGAACGACTGGTGGTAGAAAGGTATGGATCGGAGATAGACTTTGCGGTGTTTTCCGATGACCCTGTACCGTCTGTCATAGAGACGTTTTTCCTCTTCTACCATGCTGACATCGTCGTAGCTCCCCACGGGGCAGGGCTGACCAACATGCTGGTGTCTCATGGAGAGGGCAGGGAGGCTGTTGCTGTATGGCCTTATCCCGAATGGACAAGCAGTGGTGGTGGTGCTATTACCGTCCCAGTGCCAAGACGAGAAGACCGTCCGGTGGATGTACTGGGTGCAACCGCCAATGGGACCAAAGGGACTGTCATTATCGAAATTGTACCGGACGCATACATGAACCGGTGTTACTTTGGCCTGGCCAATAACTTGGGCATGAGTTACAGCTCCGTTGTCGGCTATTCAATGCTTGCTGAGCAAGACAGGGAATCGGGACCGAAGAAAGGTACCGAGCTGAGTGGAAAGGTTGGCTATGCTAACCAACGAGTTAACTTAACGGAATTTGGCGCTGTGCTGCAGGGGCACCTCTCACAGACAATTCTCATGCCTTGAGAAGAAAAACTGTGAGTGAGTGAGGGAGTGAGAAACCGAGGGAAATGATGGATGGACGGAGGGAGGGAGGAAGGGAGGGAGGGAGGGAGGGAGGGAGGGAGAGACACAGGAACTTCCTGAGCAGGAGTACCACAGAGGAGCGCTTTGTTCTTCAATCAACTTAGACTTCAAAAAGAAGTTCAATGCTGAATTCCACACTCGTGGCTCAATGACACTCTGCAGGATAAAGTCCAATCTCCCTATGTTCTTAAAGACTGGAGTGCTCCTCACGTGATGCCCCCCAGCGTGCACACAAGAAACCGCAGAGGGGCGAACATGAGGAACGCCCGGCAGTCCCAGCCTGCTCCCATCATGCGCCACAGCAGAAATCGGGGGCGAGGCCCGATTGGCAGTCCGGATCGGTTCGTGTGTTTATTTTTGTTTTTGTTCTTTTGGGGGGAGCGGTCACTTCTCCTGCATGCAGTGTTTTTTTATCCCGATGACATGTTGATTTATTCTGTTGTTTTGTTTGCTCGCGCTCTTTTAGGGCCTGTCTCTTATACACATCTAGATGTGTATAAGAGACAGGATACAGAGAGAGAGAGAGAGAGAGAGAGAGAGAGAGAGAGAGAGAGAGAGAGAGAGAGAGAGAGAGAGAGAGAGAGAGAGAGAGAGAGAGAGAGAGAGAGAGAGAGAGAGAGAGAGAGAGAGAGAGAGAGAGAGAGAGAGACGGCATTTCCCGTCGCCCGCTGCTGCTCCTCTTTCACTCCTCGATTCAGCGATGGTGATTCGAGCCCAACTTGCAATGATGATGATACTTCCCGTTGCAAGCAGCAGGAGGAGCAGAACCGGGAGGAGTGGAGCCCAGAGGAGTGGAGCAGGAGGAGCAGGAGGAGAAGGTGAAGAAGCGGAGGAAGAGGAGGAGGAAGAGGAGGAAGACAGGAGGAGAGGAGACGGAGCTAATGACGAGGAGGAGGAAGGACAGAGCAAGGAAAACCAGGGACAAGGACGAAGGAGGGACGCAGGAGAACAAAGGACAAGGACGACAATGTCAATAGATGGAGCAGGAGGGTGGGGGATGGAGCACGGCGAAGATGACGGTGATGCTGACAAGGTGAGTGATGCATCGCCGGAAAAGGAGACAGGATGGAGACATTTGGGGAAGACAAATACATCAACGTCGCTGCCCTGCCACATAGATAACAACTACGAGGAAGCAGGGCGGGTGATGTAGGGAAGAGGGAGGAAGAGGGAGGGAAAGGGAGGGGAAGGAGGGAGGATGACAATGGCGACGAGAAGCAGGAAGGATGAAGCAAGGAAGACCAGGGAGGAGGACACAGAATCGAGGGAGGAAAACAAGAAAGGAGGGCAACAATAATGGAGGAGGCGAGAACAATGGATGGATGGATGGATGGACACGTACAACCATGATGGATTGAGGAAGACGAATGATTGAGGAAGAGGAGTAGGAGAGGCAGGATGAATTGGAAGGGGCTCACATACGATTTCCAGCTGCAGATGTGGCTCGACTTTTTTTAAAATTTTTGCCTTTTTTTGTTTTCTTTTTTTGGGGCAATGGAGGGGAAGTGGGTCAGAGAGAGTAAACACTCACACACACGACCAGACTCCGACGCAGAACTCGGCTGGTACGATGAGGACGGTCAGAGAAGAGTACCAGCAGGAACTCAATGTCGAACTCACACTCAGTGTCCGAAAAGTTGGCGAAAACTAAGTACAGCAAAAGATGTGTGACCAGCGTGTGAGACCGGTACATATACCTGGGAACAGCCTAACGGCTAGATTGGGCTCAGGGGTATGTACAAAATCCGTTGGTACCAGAAGGGTACTGGTAAAAATGTCCAAGGGACCGAGGACAGTGCATAAAAAATAAATGTGCGGTACCAGGCATGAGGTCCAGGGATCAAGCCCTGGCCAGATCCATAACACTATCCCCCTCTCCGAAAAGGCAACATCCCGGCTGCCAAATGAACAATCTCTCCAAAGGAATGGGACGGGGCCGATCCAGAACAAATGCTGCTGTAAAATGAGCTATCCTATGAAGAACACACTGAAAGAAAATTGAATCCTTGATCTATATAAGTTCCAAAATACAAAACAGTTATCATGGTAATCACAATGTTAAAGAACAACTTGAAAGGCGCAAAACATAGTGCAGGAAAAAATTGAAACCAATTGTGTCTTTCAAAACAAAGTAAGTGCCACTGTAGATTAGATAGCCAATTGATCTGCTTGCAGTTGCCAGCAAGCAACTCATATACATGGAGTGTCGGGAACTCGTCACAGCTTGAGCTTTGTAGAAGGCAAGTCAAGCCTGAGCAAAATTGTATAAGCCGAAGTTGGTCTCTGAAATCGCTGAGAACTGCAATGTTTAAAATACTATCGATCCTGTACACTTTTTTAACGAGTTTAAGAAGCGTCCCTTAGTAGAAAAGGTATTGCAGACATCCAGCAAGTTCATGTCGTAGGCTGCTGTAGGTGTGGACGGTTCTCATCCAGGCAGTGAGCTGTGCCGCAGACTCAAACAGCAATTGTTACCACTTGTAGGCGGGATGTTGCACAAGGAGGTCTGCAGTTATGTGCGCCGGCAAATGAAGACAGCCTGTTGGCCAACCAGTTGTATATGAATCCTAGTCGTGATGCAGCAGGCCATCATCCGCTTGCGCTCGCCATTAGATCCATTATCGCTGGCATCGCGCAGTCGCCACAGGTAAGCAAGGTGAAAGGGAAGAAGGGGGCGGTTGGGGATGATGGGAATAAGGTCAGGGAAAGCATGCGGATCAGAACAAGGTAAGGGACAGGGTTCAAAGGCAGGGTATCAAAGGAGACTGACGACAAAGGATTTCAAGAGTAGAGGTCGAGAATCGAGCAGAGGAGTTGGGGACTGAGATTCTTGAGAGAGTCTATGACAATGAGCGATCGTATGGACGGACAAACTTCATTGCATTCTTTAGATTTGATGAAGGTTCCCAAGTACACTTCTTCGGGATATCCTGACCACTTGACTTCGTACTCGAGGATTGATCTAGAATCCTGTGAAGTTTGAGTGCTACGACGACCAAGGATTGCTTCTACAGCGAGCTCAGGGCCTGTGGTTGTCATGACAAAGGGTGGTCTAGGATAAGGTCGATCAGAGAACTTCGGTGGCGATTCATGATATTCCTTGAGGTATTCTGTAATATGGAAGACAGGGCAGAGATGTTTCATATCTGGAGGTTGCTGGAGTTTGAAATTTACAGGGGAAGTTTGGGTGATGATTGGGAATATGGGCCAAGCCACTTGTTGCAGAGTTTGCAACTGAGGCCGGTTCAAAGCGCTTGGCTGAAAGCCAGACTTTGTCTCCGACTTTGAATGTGACATCATGGTGGTGAACATTGACTGTCTTTGCTTGTTTCTCTTGAGCAAGCTAGATGGAATCAGTGGCTTCACAAATTAGGCGGCTCATTGTAGCAACCCATTCATTGAGCGAAGGACAAGGGGTGGAAGGGGTCATTTGGTGAGGAAGCAGCAAGTCGGACGGTAAATGCGGGTGATAGCCTAGATCGAGATAGAATGGGGACATACCAGTGGTAGGGCAAACAGCATTGTTTTTTTTTTCCTGTTTTGTTTTGTTTTTAAGCCCAGGGTGTTGTGGAGGCCATGGACCAGACCCGCAGTGATTGCTGGCCGCGGCAGCCAATGGTTGTCCTGACAGGATAGGCCACCTACCCTGTATATCCCCACATTAATTACTCCCAGCGCACACCCTGTGCCTAGTATCCTACCTCAGTGTGACCAGCACTCAGGACCATCACCCTACCAGTATCGAGGGCAACTTGGACCAGACAGCAGTGGCAAGCACCAAGGCTGGGTCAACCCCCCAACCCTAGTCGAAGCAGAAGCGGACGAACCTTGCCGCCGTATGGGAACTTCGGACGCCAGGCTCATGCAATCTTCTACAGGCCCAATTCAGAGAGTCTACCCAGCAGGAGTATTGTAGGCTATCTGTGTGGCAGTGAGTAACTGGTCCCGATCGTGTTGGTGAGAATGCCAATCCTTCCTAAGGATTCGTGGAAGGGTATCATTCATCTTTTCAGTCTGGCCATCGGTCTGAGGATGGAATGCAGTGCTGTATTAGTTCTACCATACAAGGAGAACAAGTGTTTCCAAAAAGTAGAAAGGAAACGATTGTTGCGGTCACTAATGATAATTTCAAGGAGGCCGTGAAGCTTAGCGAAATGATCAAAGAACATCATTCCAACATCCTTGGTTGTGGCAGAGGTAGTACAAGGGATGAAGTGGGCGTGTGTGGTCAATCTGCAAACAATGACTTTTTTAGATGCAATCGTGACCTTGGTCGGTCTTGGGGAGACCACAAACGAAGTCCATGGAAACAGACTGCCAACGCTGTGCGGGGATGAGCAAGGACTGTAGCTTTCGAGCCTTGACATGACCTGAAGGGTTAACAGCTTGACGTGTGAGGCAAGATGGGATGTATTCTTTGACGTCTTTGAGCGGCGAAGGCCAATGAAAGTAGTGGGAGATGTTATCGAAGGTTTTCTGGAAGCCAAGATGTCCTATTGCTTTTGTGTAATGGGGTTCAGCGAGAAGTTGAGTGTGGACACCGCAAACATCAGGTACCCACAAACGACGAGAGTCTTTAAGGTCTATGTACATTAGGCCATCAATGAGGGAGTAATCGGAGGCAGTGTCCATATCACGCACCTGTTAATATACATGAGAGAAATCAGAACAAGATAAATAACCGCGAGAGAATCGGTTATGTAACGATGGGGATAATTGGGCATGAGACATATGAGCTATGACTTTGTCGACGAGCTTGTCGTGGTCTAATATCCTTCCTTGCTCATAAGATTGGACACAACAGTGTTGTCAGTGCGGATGACGAAGTGTTGCCCATCAAGGTATGGGCACCAGACTGTGAGTGCATGAATGACGGCAAGGAGCTCTTTCTAGTTAGCGGGGTAGTTCATCTCGGCATGGATAAGTTCCTGACTTCCAAAGGCAATTGGGTACTCACCCTCAGGGGCTTCCGGGGTGGTAGGTGATTCTACGATGGAGTATGAAGAGGACTCACGGGGGAAGGTCTGAGATAAAACAGCGCCAATAGTGAAGTCTGGTGCGTGTGCAGTGACGAGAAAAGGTTTTGAGGAATTTGCAATCTTGAGAAATGGGTCAGTGATGACTAGGCGGTTGATTTCATCGAAGGCAGCTTATTTGGTGTCGGTCCATACAAAGGATTCATTCTTACGAGTGAGTTGATAGAGGAGGTACAAGATATTGGAGAAGTGAGCAATGAAGCGACAGTAGTTTGCAAGGCTAAGGAAAGAGCAAAGTTGCTGAAGGTTCGTGGGAGTGGGGAACTCAAGGATGGCTTGGATCTTCATCACGTGGATGCCTTCAGCGGAGATAATGTATCCAAGGTAGTCGACGACTCGATGCTCAAGGCAGCAAAAGAACATTTGCTAAGTTTTGTGTAGAAGTTTTGCTCTCGAAGGATGAACAAGACATGTCGAATGTGCTGGAGGTGCTTGTTGTAGGTGCGACTAAATTCAAGGGTGTCATCAAGACATACAATAACACATACTTTCAGGAGGTCACTCGAAGGTGGTCGGGGAGTTCGTGAGGCTCGAAGGTGGTCGGGGAGTTCGTGAGGCCATATGGCATAACAAGGAACTCATAGTGACCGAAATGACTTCGAAAGGCAGTCTTGTGAATGTCAACCTCTCGGATCCGGATCCGGTGGAAGCCACTGAGAAGGTCAATGTTTGTGTTCTGCGCTCGTTGAAGGCGATCAAGAAGTTCGGAAATCCTAGGTATGGGATACTTGTTCTTCGTCATAATCCGGTTAAAGGCGCGGCCGTCTGTGCACATGCGTAATTCCTTGGTTCCACGTTTCCCAACATAGAGACAACTCATACTGAAGGGTGAAGTGCTAGGTCGAATAAATCCTTTGTCAAGTAGTTTTTTGAGTTGGTGCTTCATTTTTTCAGCCTCGGGGATATAGAGTTGGTAGGGGGGTCGAGAAGGAGTACTGAGTTTTCTTAGGAGGCGCTTCATTTGTTCAGCCTCGGGGACATAGAGTTGGTAGGGGGGTTGAGAAGGAGGACTGTGTTTGGGCTCAAGTCCATGTCATGTGAAACACCACGTTCAAGTGGGAGTCGTCCGGGTAAGGAGTCGGGGAAGACATCCTTAAACTCCTCTAACATGCGAAGGAAGTGGTGTGGGTTTATCGAGGTAGCAGTGGAACTGGTGATCTCGGGTGGGATATCAATGGGATCACCAGAGGGTGGGGTAAGGCGAAAGGCCGATGGAAGGAATGTGTAGGGCATGTAACGATCACGCCATGGGATTCCAAGTAAGATATCGCATACAATGTGCACAACATCAAATGAGACAAAGTGTGGAGGGCTCTTGCGGACTCTTGCAGTCATTAAAGCCTCGGGGACAATGCAATCAATCATGATGGTTGTTTTCTATCTCCTAAGCGGACTATGATAGGAGAGTCGGTCCCAATCGAAATAAGACTAACCTTGCTAACGCAAACCCCGGATATGGAGTTTCTAGTAGCTCCTACATCTAGTAAGGCTCGAAACTTCAAAGCGGATGCACCTAGCCGAATAAACGTGAGTCGGTATTGGGAGGAACCAACCATGGCAGTTGAGATCATGTTGTTTAGCCGACGCTGTTCTTCACCTAGTTTGGCCAACCGATTAAGTCGGCCCAGCTCATCAACAAGATCGGAGTACATAATAACTTCAGGCCAGGGCTCAGGGTGATGGAGCAAGAGGCAGTGGGTGGATCAACCAATGGAGCAGCACTCATTGTCCATCACCAGCTTGAGAGAGCAACCCAACACTTCTCTGGATTCAAACCTTGATCTTCAATCCACAAGCTTGAGAGAGCAATATGAGTGGCGTACTGGTCAAACTGGTAAATCTCCAACCCGTGGCCAGCCTCACGCAATGGAACAAGGCTCAACAAGCACTGTACCAGCCAAGCATCCCACCACCCTGCAACTTCCCAAGTTTATAACCCGAGAAAAAAACCTTCCACTAAGATACGATCGGATACTCTGCCAGCCTCGCACCGAATGGCCACAAAGCTCTCCTCTATAGTTTGGTTCCTCAGTTCCTCACTTCTCGTCGCTCCGGTCGATAGGGTGTTCAGTGCGCCGACTAGCAGGTAAGTGTCCGCTCTCACTCTCTCTCTAAGCTTTGCAACCGTCCCTAACACTCGTACACACGTGGCCGTTAACTTGGCCTGGTTCATTCAAAAACAAACGGGCGGGAGCGAAAGCGATGGGCTCCCAAGGGCGAACCGGTGCTAGGCTGCTTTTAATCACAGCAAGCCGAACCTCAACGTAGATGATAACTTCTTCGATCAAAACTCAAGAATGGATCTGACGCCAGAACGTGGTTAGGTGCATCAACACCTTGCCAATCTCTTCCCCAAGCGCAGCTTCTGCTGCTCACTCCGAAGAAAAAAAAACACCCCAGATTATAATCCACGCGCGGTCGATTAGCTAAGAGAGATCCCAAACCCCAATTAGCATCCACAATTGCCAGAAGCGACCGAATCTTCACTCTCGTTTGCCCTCTTTCTTCCTTCTCCCCCAACATCATCCCGCAGCCTATTTCTCTCCTGCTTCCCTTCCTAGCTATCTATGTGCCAAACCGACTCCGCCATCCAGCTCGCAGCATCTAAAAATCTCTATCTAGTACTTTACTCTGGCCGATTCTACCGAGAATCGGGTGAAATCTTCATTTCATAATCCCATCATCTCCACTCTTACGTCCTCGTCATGCGCCTTCTTTCTCTCCTTTCTCATCTTCTACACAACTAACACCAAAACTAACGATACCAACTTACTCGTCTGGGGCTAAAACCCCAAAATCGCCTCCTCCTTTGCTCGATATTGCTAAGAATCCAGCGAGTTACACTTCTTCGATCGTGCCCGGCCTACTTTCCTCCATCTTCAACTTTGAATGTATCTGGTGCGAAACGCGTTGAGGTTCAGCAGGTGTTTCTTATCCTAGTAGATCCCGAACTGCGCGCTAGCCCCGACGGTCTTGCTTGGAAGAGATAGCAAGACGATGGTAGTAGATGTCGAAATCCGTTAAAGCATGTGTAATAACTCGCCTCCCAAATATCTCAGCTCAACAACCTTTCGCTTCCTTTCTACTTCATCCTAACGCTGCTCCCGACGGCAGTCGCTTTCACAATGCCAGAGCTCAGTCGCTTCCCGTCTGCTAGCACAGACAATCTGAGCAGCCGCATAGAAACCCACTAAAGTGGTTCAATCAGTTTTTACTCCTATACCCAAACTCGACGAACGCTGCATGCAATAGCAGCGCTGTGTGCCCTCCTCCGCAGCTCGGACCCACTAAGCACCTATTACAAGCCAACTCAGACAGCGGTGTCGCCAGTCATGAAAACCTTCTACTCATGACCGCTTAGCAACCCGCTTCATGAGACGGGGTGAAGGGCACAAGGCTCTCTGCGCAATCTGCAGCATAAGCCTTGTGAGTGGGAACAGTGCTCCATGGCCCAGTAACCTGCAACACGTAGTCTGCGCCTATGTTGCACGCTGGCCGCGGCCGGGTTCGGCCCAGGCCTCGGCCGGCGGCCTGGGCCCGGACCCCCCCGGCCGCGGCAGGTCCCGCCGAGTTTTTTCGGCCGACGCCGCGGCCGATCGGGGAGGGGGTTTGGGGGGCGGGGAACGGGTTTCGAGTCGKGGGGGGGTCCCCTACCTCCTCGCAAAAAGAAAAACATAGAAACTTCAAAAACGGGGGGGTGGATTTCGATGACTACCAAAAAAAATTAAATAAATAGAAGAAAAAAAAAAAATCATTGATTGACTGTTTTTATTATTATTATTGATTGATTGATTGATTGATTGATTGATTCATTCATTCATTCATTCATTCATTCATTCGTTGATTGATTGATTGATTGATTGATTGATTGATTGATTGATTGATTGATTGATTGATTGATTGATTGGTT